GTAATCTGGATTATATCCTTGGGTGCCTCTTGGGCTCTTCCTATCTGTTTCTTAGCCACCATGAGGTGAGTACATTTGCTCTAGTATGTTAGTATGCTCTGATAAGGCTGCCTCCTAGTGGCCTAGGAACTTTAGAGCCACTGCAAGTTTTTATTTGGTGATAATGGGGATTGAATTTAGGGCCTCTGGAAATAACAAACCTGAGCCCATTGTTTTTACTCCTTTACTGACTCTTATGCCAGGCTTAAGATGGTTCTCAATCACCCCCATCATCTGCATTCAACAGTTAAGCTCGATGGAAAAAGCACACCTTGCTTTTCTATCTTCACATCTTGCTTTTCTTTATTCTTTTGAACTTCTATGTCTTTAATTAAGCAAGGGTTCTTCTACACAGGAGGCTCAGTTAGCCAGCCTTTAGCACATTGTCTTAGACAAATCTATTTTCTCCTTGTCTTAGAAGTGGCAAAGTGGGCTGGATCTTACACTTCTTACTTCGTTTTCTCCTATAAGCACTTTGTAATAAGAAGTAATTTTTCTCTCCCATAGTATATATTACTAGTCTTCATTGCCTGTATTCACTGCTCAAGCCAACAGTTCCCATGTGAGTAGAACTGTAGGCTTTAACCAATCCATACTCAGGTTGAAGGTACAATAGTAATGATAATAGTAATAATATATATTTTTATATCCCCATTTTTATATCCCCAGGTAGTTATCTCTGGGGTAAAGAGTAAATAAACATCATTCATTCCACAGTTACTGCTTATATATGTAGGACAGTTTAAGTTATAAATTCATTTTTATATAATATATTCTGACATTTTGTGTCGCAGTGCCTAGCAAAGACACCGGCACCTGACAAATGGCTGCCACCCACTCTGATGCTTATCAGACAGACATTGAATGCCTCACATATTAAAAGAGTTTCAACAGTTAACGATCTTTAATGTTTTTTATTTTATTTTCATAGTGTACTAAGTGTGAAAAGACTTCATAAACCTTACACTTAGTATCAAATGAGAAAATCAGTAGTTACTAGAGTGCTTTAGAATTCACAAAAGGCTAATTTGTCTTTTCTAAGCTGGGGCCACACAAAGCTGTGTGCTTTTAATGTGCCCAGATGAGTGGGTTCACGTGTAAGGCAATCAGAATTGAATCATTCATCAATAAGTATTTAGTTTCTCAGTTGGTATAACTTTTCAAAAAGATGAGGGCTCATTATGTTGCCCAGGTTGGTATCAAAATTTTGAGGCTCAAGTGTTGGTCCTGCTTTAGCCTCCCAAGTGCTGGGACAGCAGGCATTTACTTCAACACAGCTAGTATGCTCTCCTTCTCATTGTGGGTCAAGGAGCCAATGAGAAGTTCGAGACAATGACTACTGGCAGCTTTACTTATTACAGCTAGTAATTTACAGTTGGGAGAACATACTCTCCTTTATATTTCTCTTGCTCAGTTACCTGGGCAAGTTAAGTTTTACTGAGATTACTTGAACTTCAACTTCGCCAGTAATGCTTTAACTTTAGTAAGTAAGCATTATCTCATTCCTTATGTCTAAATATAGAGCATAAACTTTCTCATTATATGGGAGCATTTTTCTTGGATTTCTATGTACCAAAACGATACCTGGTATGTAAGAAGTGGTTAATATTCATCCATCAACAGATCCTTAATGTCTGCATGGTGCTTTCTTTAGTTTACAAAGCACTTTACTATGTGCTATTTTCTGAGTTTTTGGTTCTTTGAGAAACTTTTTTTGGGGGGATGGGGGCAGGCAGACTGGGTTTGAATTCAGGGTCTTGTACTTTCTAGGTATGTGTGTGCTCTACCATTTATTTGAGCCATGCTCCCAGATCTTTTTTGAGTTCTCAGATAAGATCTCATGGTTTTTGCTCAGGGCTGGCCTCAGACCACAATCCTAACGCTGCTTTTACATACAGGCATGACCATCATATCTCTGGCTTGTTAGTTGAGATGAGGTCTCATTAACTTTTTGAAGGCTCACAACTGAAGCCTTCTCAATCTCCATTTCCCCTAGACAGTAAGACGATAGGCATAGGCCATGAAAAAAAATTTTTATTTAAATCCTTTTGGTATCTCTTAATATCTAGCATATTACTTGGCACATTATCAGTAATCATAATAGCTTAATACCTTGTATTTGTGTTTTTTTGTACTTTAAAAGCAGCTTTGATGTTTCTTTTCTGCAACCTGGAATACTGTATTTTTATTCTAAACCATCAGAGCAGTAGAAATATACAAATTTCTCTTATGGAGCCCTCATTATAGTAGTATATATTTTGTAACAAAGCACTTTGTTATTTGTGCTTCTTTTTTAAAAGTTTTCATAGCAAAGGGTTGGAGGTGTGTCTCAATGCATGTTTTATTGAATTTATCCACTATTATTACTTCATTAATGTAATCAATACATTAATGCTTTTTAAATATGCAGTGTATCACAAAACCATATGTAATGGGTAATAAGTACTGATCATCAGCATGTAAGTTCACAAGGTTTCTTGTGCTTTATGGTTTACAAAGCACATTCATTTCTCTTCATGTCACTTGAGTAAGATCACAAAATTACTTTTCTTCATATCACTTGAATAAGATCACAAAGAAACAGTATATCCTTAGTGCTCAGCTCAGGGACAAACACAGAGAACAGAATTCATATTATTCAAACATGTTCTCTGGCATTTTATATCAGAGTTTGGTAACTATGGGCATCAGGACAGATCCACAAGTTAAAAATATTTTCACCTTTTTAAAAGGTTAAAAAATGCGCAACAGAGACCATATGGCCTACAAAGTGTACAGTATTTTGGATCTGATTCCATACTTACACAGTGCTTCCCAAAGTACATTGCACAAGGTACTCTGCATGGCTAATTATAATGCAACTGAGCATACTTTATTTTCATCTCTTGTGATTTCATCCATATTACCTACCAATCATTTAAATCAACTTCCCTCATAAAGAGGGGAAAATGAAGGAAAAGATTACATCTCTTTATTAATGAGTCCCAAGTTCTCTCATCTTTAAGCCGAGAGGTGGGTGTTAAACCCAGCAGTAAGTGGTGCGATCCACCAGATTATTTGACCACTACTATGAGCAGGGAGATCAGAGATGACTCTTGTTGTCAAATCCAATCACTCGTTTGGTAACCATCACCAGAAATTCCCAACCCCAGAAATCCTGCTCACCTAGGCTCAAAGAAGGAAGGCCATGCTGCCTAGTGCTTCTCAGAGGCTGCCACATCCGTCTATGTCTCATCTAATTTTTCTCATTGGCCAGGTGCATCTCTTCACATTCTCTCTAGAGCCTGGCACTTTGTTTTGGTCCCAACAGCCAAATGCTTTTGTCTTCTCATCAGCCTAGGGCCTCTAAGGTAGGGAATCTAGGGAATACAGATTTGTATGGAGGCTTGCTCCTGGGGGAATAACAAAAGCATTGGTTTTTGGTTGGTTTTTGGTGACTCACTCAAGTGGAGCAGATGTCAGGAAAAATGGAAATTTACAGACACTAAAACTTTAATGAATGGCTAAAAACTGTGATTCAAAATGGGTTCAAGATCAGCCTGTGCATAGTTATTGTCAGTCTAAAGATAATATGCACTTACATAAGGTAAACAGCAACACAATAAAGTACATATCAAATGAGAATAAGAGAACTAGAAGGGGAGAACTGATAATGTCCTAGAGTGGGAAGAGTTGGAGTTTAGGGTTCTCATCTTGAGATTGCCCTGTCTTGGCGTTTATATCCTTTGAGTTCAGGTCTCTAGCTTCTAGCCTTTAGGCTTGAGATGTTTCTTTGAGGTCATCTGTCCATGTAGGGAAGCTTGAGACCTGGGTCATATTTGTGTCTCTATCCTTCTATCATTGGGTCTTCTATGTTCAAGCTACAACGTTGGGTTTTTCTCAAGTCTTGGGCCTGTGTCATAAGTCTCAGTCCTTACACTTGCCATGTCAGTCCCACATAGAAACAGCCTCTATCCTGAGCCTTCTGGCTTCTGTCAAACTTAAGTGTTTCATTCAACTCAGCCAGGCCTTCTTTATATCTTGGCTCTTTGAGGCCTCTGTTGGCCTCAGGTCTCCAGCCTCCCTCTATCTTGAGATAGGGGTATTTCATCCTAGTACACTCAAGTCTCAAGTCTTCTGTCTTCTTTTAAGCCCATCAAAGGTCATCAGTTGATTTCTAGTTGCGAGGTGTTGTGGTCCTGGAGCATCTCACAGGGCGGCCTGGCATGATGAACAACTCTCCAGTGCTTACTTTGGTTGCTGATAGTCTGGACCTATTGGGAAGGGGTTAGGAAACCCCATGTATGTCACACATGACATGCACACACATACAGAGAGACGGCCACTTAGTCAAAGAAATATCCAAGAGAGGATTACATGAAATAGAGAGACACATTCACCAAGAGACTGAAATACTCAAAGGTAAGCAGAAAAGAAAAAACAAGAAAGAAAGAAACATAAGCAAGCAAAGAGTAATGCTGAAACGAAGTCACAAATAGCACACAATAAGATAGACAAAGGAGGAATAAAGAGAATAGACTCAGAAGCAGAAAGGGTATGTATAGATAAGAAATATGAGCTAAGGAGCAGAAAGGCTTGAAGGAAGCCAGAGTTAGAAGGTGAAATGTTAACCAACAAGTAGGAAAAGGGGAGTGAGCAATCTTCAGAGAGGAAGAAAAGAGGGACAATGAGACATCACAAAGAAGAAAAAGAGAGACACACAGACTTTACAAAGAGGAACAAGGAAGAGACAAGCAGGCTGTATCACAATGAAGGAAAAGGAGGGACAAACAATCAGACTTTACAAAGAGAAAGAGGAAAAGATACAATCAGATTGTATCACAAAGAAGGAAAAGGAGGAACAATTAATTAGACTTTAGAAAGAGAAAGAGGAAAAGAAACAATCAGACTATTACAAAGAAGGAAAAGGAGGGACAAACAATCAGATTTTACGAAGAGGAAAAGGAAAAGAGACCGACATTACAAAGAGAAAAAGAAATGAGGGCAGGCACAATAAGCACACAAAAGATAAGAAAGAGAAGCCAGAAAGAGAAGAACCAAGGAGTGGCAACAAATGACAAAAGTAACATACATGTAAGACAAAGTACATCACACTTAGGAACAAAAGCAGAAAAGGCACAAGTCAGAAAAAGGCACATATAGACATAAAGACATTAGCAAGAGAAATATGGAAATGGGTATGACATTCTTTAAAGATTAAAAGATCACTCAATCAAGAAACAGACAGAGAATTACATGGTGGGGGGGGGAGAAGAAGCAACAGGATTGACTATCGCAGGAGGAAAATCACAAGGAACAAAATACAGTGAGAGACCTGAGACAGAGGCACAAAAAGACCAAAAAGGAAAGTGCCATTAGTAATTGCAATGAGTGACTATGTACCAATACTACTTCTTACACAACTATCAATAGTATAATAGCAATAATTAGGACCAGCAGTACAGTTGCTCCTCTGCTTACATATATATGCTTAGCTAAGAAATGTTCTTTTTATGCAGAACCAGAGCTTACGCACTCTGCCAAGCACCAGAAATGGCGAGTGGTTTGGTTTTCCTTTTACTGAGCATGTGCCAGACACTACACTAAGCACTTTCCATTCATTTCATTTATGCCTCACCGATAAACAAGTCTAATTAGAGGCTCTAGATTGCCAGAGGTCCAATAGCTAATGAGTAACAGAAAGGATTTAAACCTTGTGCTACAAATATTTAGGAGGAACTCCATGACTAGGTTGTCCCAGTGGGATGAATATTTTAACAAAGGGCCCTGATTTTTTTTTTCTCTTTAGAAAACTGGATTTTCACACCCTTCACAATTATGATGGCTATTTTAGGGTCTGGGTTTCTTCTTATACTTTTTTGTTCTTTTTTGATAGTACTGGAGCTTAAATTCCAAACCTTGAACTACTACTACCGAAGCCCTCAACCCAGGCACTTTTGCTTTTATTTTTTTATTTATTTATATATTTTTGCCAGTCCTGGGGCTTGAACTCAGGGCCGGAGTATTGTCCCTGAGCTTCTTTTGCTCAAGTCTAACACTTGAGCCACAGTGCCACTTGCAGCCTTTTCTGTTTGGGTGATACTGAGGAATGGAATCCAGGGCTTTTATTTTTTTCAGGCAGTCTCGAATTTTTGCTTGGCCTAACCTGGACTTTGGTGCTTCTAGTAAAACATTCCATGTAAGTGGAATGTCATGATAGGTTATAGTGGCATGGCAGATATATGTTCTACCATATTCAGCTTTTTTGCTGAGATGAGGTCTAACTTTTTGCTTGGACTCGCCCAGATCCTTAGTCTTCCTGATCTCTTCCTGTGGAGTTGCTGGGTTTACAGGTGTGAGCTACTGCACTAATACATTTTAGCCACACATATATTCTTTCACAATGGGACATGAGGAAGGCTCACTCCTTCAGCAGAAAGCCAAAACTATCATTTAGGCTTCTCAGTATTTAAGCTTCTACAGAATAAGATAAGTAGAGGCTCAGCCCCTGTGTAATACAACTGGTAAACAGACTGCCATGTCTTTTATTTGATAATATGAGCACCTGGTCATTGTCCCATCTTACATTTAGACCACTACACTCCATCTAACACCAATTCCAACAAACAAAGCCTCACAGGATTGAAACCTAAACAACTTACTCCATTCTGTTATTTTAAAATGGTAGTATGCCAGGCATGTTGACGTTCAGATAGGCAAGCCAGTGTCCTGTCGTGTTCACAGTTTTTGATCATGCTGAAGATTCCACTTTCTGTACTGCCTTTGAGAAGGATAATGATTCAGCAGCAGATGGAGCTAAGAAAAATGAAAGAAACCATGTAAAATGCCATCAAAGAAGTATGAAATACTGTGTTATCATGGAAGATTTAAATAAGATGGAAAAACTTTGCACAGGGCATGAAGTTTCTAGCCTCAGAGATCAATAAATACAGTTTCCTCGCTTAGCAGCACAGGAAAATAGCATTAATGAGTCACTGGAGGGGCTTTCACCTGTCCTAGCCTTAGACTTGCAGCTAAAGACTGGAGTTTTTTTTTAAATGCCAGTCCACTAGGGGGCGTTCTAAATGAATAACTGACATAAAAACAAACCTACAGATAAAAGAGTTTAAAGACCACAACAGCCAAGTTAGTGTTCCTTAAGTATCTTGGCTCAGGACTGCCAAAATACAGGCAGAGTTAATATTTCCAAATCCCTAATGTTGCTCTTTGAGATAAAGAAGGGGACCTTTTGGGAGGTAGTTGTTTACCAATAGAAAAATCTACAAGGGATACTGGCTCTAGGTGAGTCTAACAAGTTGTTAGTCATTTTATCTCAAAACCCATGGGTCTTTCTAATCAGTGAAAACATTTCAAGGATTCCTATCATGAAAGCATCTCATGGTGAATACCAAACTCTTCATGAAGAATACAGGACAAGGCCTATACAATTAGGATTTGGTGTACTGAATGCTGTTGGTCTCCCAGCCCTCACTTACCCATCTTTTATTGGGGGTGGGGTGGGGGAGTGGTCAGTCATGGGGCTTGAACTCAGGGCCTGGATGCTGTCTCTGAGCTCTTTTGCTCAAGCCTAACACTTGACCACTTTGAGCCACAGTGCCACTTCTGGTTATTTGAGTGGTTCATTGGAGATGAGTCTCATGGGGACTTTTCTGCCTAGGCTGGCTTTGAACCTCGATCCTCGGATCTCAGCCTCCTAAGTAGCTAGGATTATAGGCGTGAGCCATAGGTGCCCAGCTTGACTTACCCATCTTGATGTGTGTATCTGTGAGTCTTCATCTTCCTATTTGGACCCAGGAACGTACATTAGTAAAACCTGTTGACCTAGTATTGTTGCTGAGTGATAATGAGCTTTTCCCTTGGAGGATCCTCATGCCCCATCTCCACCTAGCGATCCTCAAAGGGAAGAGGTCACTAACACTGCAAAGCAACGAAGTTTTTCTAGGGAACATCTGGAAAGGAGACAGAAAAAAAAATGATTAAAAAAAATCAGTACACTGATGAAGTCTGTCACAATGAGTAACTAACTAATGGTTGAGTGACCCGTCCAGCAGGCCAGGTAATTTTGTGGGGAATCCGAGGGGGCACCTCCTGAAAGAACCAAGGGGGGCGAGAGAGGATCGAGACCAAGCGCATTAAGAAAGACAGAGCCGTTCTGAGTCGCGTCAAGGTCTGCTTTATTAAAGTGAGGCAGGGTTTATATACCCGAAGGGACAGGGGAAGGGAAGAAAATAAAAAAAACTTTGCAGAAGCAAGGGTGAGAAGTCCCGGGGTCAGGGATGGGTCATGCTTATCCTTTTGGCCCTTGTGCTCATCTTAAAGGTATCTCCTGTGATTTCTTTTATGGTTAGCCAGGCGCCGTTTGCTTAGGGCTGGAGATAAGAGAAGTTTTAAGGTTAGCCAGATGTAGTTTGTTATGGAAGTTATCTAAATGTGCACCTGGGAATTTCTGAGAATGGCTACTTGTTAATTAGGTGTTTGAAAGAGGCCAGAGCATTCTCAGGCAGGTTTCGGGTCTCCAACAGTTGAGTTCAATCAAATATTCCCTTTTCTTTGTGTGAATAGAGGGAGGGACACTTAAGAGACACTATAGAGAGCTGTATATTCTGGCTGTCAGCATAACCCTGTGAGAATTCTATGCATTTCAGCTCTATTTCTTCTCATCCCCAAGAACAATGTAGAACTGAATAATTACTAGAATTCCCAGACTATGCTTGTAGTCTTTCTTTCTTTTTTTCTTTTTCTTTCTTTTTGAAGTGATTCTGTATTCACATTTAAGACAATTCTTAACTTTTGAAGAAACAGACATCTATAATTGCTACATGGAGGAATGTTGAGGGAACATATAACCTGAGCTTTTGCAGTGTTTATGTTTTATAGACTAACAGATGGAGAATCTGAAGATTCAAGGGTCCACTTTAGAATAGGAATTTTGGCTACAAGTTCAAACAGAAAATCTGTATAGAATAAAAAGTTTCAATCTGATCAATCTTTCCTTCCTTCCTTCTTTCCTTCCTTCCTTCCTTCCTTTTCCTTCTTTCTTTCTTTCTCTCTTTTCTTTCTTGTCATGGGGCTTGAACTAAGAGCCTGGGTACTGTCCCTGTCCCTGAGCTTATGGCTTAGGGCTTAGTGCTACCTCAATGTCAGTCTCCTGAATAGTTAGGATTGACTACAGGAGTGAGCCACCAGCACCTAGTTGATGTTTCTGGCTTTCTTTTAAAAAAAATTAACTTTATTGTTATTATAGAGGTGATGTACAGAGGGATTACAATTACATGAGTCAGGTAATGAGTACATTTCCTTTCATACAGTGTCTTCCCTTCCCTCACTCTTCTAGTCCCTCCCTTCTGTCTGCACCCATGAGTTGTATAGTTCACTTTCATCTAGTGAACCCCACTGCCACACTTTTTCACCCTTTCCCCTCAAGTTCTGTATTGTAGCTTTTTTTTTTTTAATCAGTTTTTGGAACTGAGAAATTACATTAATCACACTACCTGTCTGGCTCCTGGGTTTGCCGCATTCCCTCTTTTAATTTGTATTGCCACAGTAAATAGAACAGTTTTGGCTGTTTGCACATGGTGTACTTTTTGGACAACTTGTGGAATAGAACCACCACCCCAACTAGAATATCTGGAGAAAGCCTAAAATGTTTACTAGTTCAAGACAGTAACAACTGTAGAGGGGGGTGTGGGGGGAGGGAGAAAAAACAAGTTGGAAAAGACCCCAGAATCCTGGAAATAGCTTACTTAGACCTGGGCGTTTCCTCTTTTGTCTTTACAAGAACATTTATTGTTTTTCAAATTTAGGAGGGCTAGAGTCTGGAATGAATTTGGCTGTACATGAACATGCTGCATCCTGCGGGGCTCAAATGGTCCTATTCATAAGCAAATCCTGAGAACTTAAAGCCAGTTGGCTCTTGGAAGGTGGGAACCATCTCAAGGCCTGTAAAGCAGAAAGCAACTATCTCACTAGCTAACTGGCTGTAGATGAGGAAGGAAAAATTTGTTGTTTTCCTTTATGAAATGAGGACCCAGTATGCTTGGCCTTAGACCTTACTGGAAACTAGTGTTGAGGGATAAAAATGAAATAGGCCAAATGCATTGTAGAAGGTTAAAGATTGATGAGTATATGCAAGAGGAAAATTGTGGAGCAGTTGATAAAAGCTGGTTCATATTCTGCTTTTTGTTAAAAACAACAGCAATAAAAAGGTGGGCACACTTAAAAATAACCAATGCCTCATTGAGTAGGAAGTGTGGCTGAAAAGAAACGACCTGCAGAAAACTAAAGCCCTTGAAGACAAAGATGGAAGTCTCACAAAGGTAAGTTCTCCAAACTACTTTTTTTTTTTCCAGGCAAGCTCTGCACTGAGACAGGTTGGAGCTAGGCGGAGTTGCTGTGGAACCTGTAAACAGGTGCTGGAATTTCTCAAAGCTGTGTCCTGGAAATGTCTTTGAGAAGAAATACAGGACTCAGTATGTTACTAAAAACCTAGGAAGTATAACTGAAGCAGTAGACATAGGTATTCCTTTTCTATTTTCTAGCCTGCTTGGTTTTGCCAAATGACAAAGCACTGAAGTAGGCAAGGGAAGAAAAAAGAACTCCATTAACCAATGGGTCTGACTAGATTTGTAGCTAAAAGGTCATGTTGTTGCTAAAAATATTTGGATACAAAATAGCAGAGCTATTACTAGTACCTAAAGGTGCCATTGTATTGATTGTTTTTAAGAATGGGCTCTGCTTTGACTACAGGGTTAGAGTTCAGTGGAGTAGATCTAAGCCAAATGTGCAGTTTTTTAAAGCATATGTTAGGGACCAGGCCTAGTAAATCTGAGGCTCTTAAAAGAGCACGTTTCCAGATTCCTCATTATGGATATTATAAGGATCTTTATGTTAATATCTTAAATTCTCAGGGGTAAACAGAAGATGACTCACTCAACTCTAATCCTTAGATAAGGTGCTTAGTAAAGCCAAACTATTTTATGGCATTTCACTAAGCAAAATCTCTGTATTTCTACTATTTATTTCTTTATTTATAAGCTTCAAAATCTCTTGGCAACATTCTTTCCCCTAACTTAGTTAACCTAAGAGCAGGTACTTTACAACCAAAGACAGGATTCCAGTTAGAACAAGGCAGTTCTTACACAAGTATAGTATTTCCTCTGCTCTTTCCTGATGGCCATGAGAGTAAACAAATTTATCTAATTTGAAAATTAAGAGATCCAAGCTCAAAGTTATTTATATGCCATCTAAAGTATCTAAAAAGAAATAGTCTGTTCACATTAACTGTAAACCCTTGAGAATGGGTTGAAACTCATTGCTTTTTAAAACAGTAACACCATGACTTGTAATTCACAAGGCAACACTTGCTCATTTTCTACAGTTAACTCAAGTGTGCTTATATTAGCTCTCAATAACCAACTATCTCAGAGATGAAATCATATCATTTCTACCTATCATTTCTATCTCATTTCAGTGTATCCTAGCAGAGGGCTCAGTACACATACAAATTCTGAAATTTGGCTGCTTAACAGACATATGTCCATAAATTGCAGATGTATTGCGAAGAGTCAGAGATTAAACCATTTGACTTTTCTATGGGTGGCATGTAAAATCAAGTTGAATAAGACAAAGGTGACTTAATAGCAACAAAGTAGTACTTACGGTATTCTAAAAAGCCAGAGAGTCTTAGAACTTTCTGAGGATTCTTCTTATAGCTTCTTACAGCTGGACCTGGAGCTGGGTGGATGTTTTTATATCCTTCTCAGAGGAGGAGTATTATTGTTCAGTGGTGACAAACTGCAGTTGTGATGGCTGAATCATTTGTTTCAGCAGTTTCCTATTAAATTCTCAGTGGCCATGAAACACCCTGAACACTTCAGGCTGATGGTTCTTTAGTTACTTCCAATTATGGACAAAAAGCACCTTAGCATTATGGTCTCTCATTTTATAATAAGGGACTAGTACTCCAAGCAAAGCATAACTAGTTTTCCTAGAAGTAAATCACAACAATGCCCAAACAAACACTAGTTTTCCAATACTAGTACAGCCAAAGAGACTGAGCTTATTAGTCCACTTGAGCACCTTTGGAAATACTGAAGTCAGCAAGAGTCACAGTGTTCTATCCACAGATCCACCACCTCGGTAAAATGAGACACTGGTCATCAGATATATGATCAGATAATTGTACCAGATAAATGCATCTGATACCTAGTATAAATACATTGTTTGGCATCAATAAATTAATGACCAGATGATCAGCCCATTTTGTAATCCAAATGCCAAGTGAACAGCAGCTTTTCTGGTTGCATCCTGGCAATTGGCACTGTATGATAGCAATATACAAAAGAGAAGAGTTGAGGTTTTTAACCAGGCAAATCAGCTCTGGAAGGAAGCATATAAACCAAGTACGAACCTTCCTCCCCTGGGAGACGATTGTCAGTTGATACTGTGTAAAGGAAGCCCTAAATAAAGGGGCTCCCTGAGCTTGACTTGCATTAAATATTTTGCTTGCTAAAGCAGTATTAAAGTTGGGCAGGTGCAGCAGCATCTGCAGTAATGTGGCAGTAATTGAAACTGGGATAATTAATAGATGTAGGAAGGACGAAGGCTTATCTACCTAGTTCCAGCCTGCTGCTTTGATGGTCAGCACTGCACAAACTCAACGTGGCAGGGAGATTTGGGGCTGGGGCTGAAATGTCAGACAGTATTGTGTCCATTAAGGACACTAGTGGAGCTTGGGGTACTTGGCATTAGTCAGAAGTAATGCAAAGGAAGTGGAGGGGTTGTGTCTACCAGATGGGACCAAGGAAAGTACAACTGAAGCATTCCGGCTGTACAAAGCAATGAAGCTTAGGATTGTTAAGTTTTTAAGGCCATGGGAAAGGGCCTTGCCCAGCAAAGGGGCAGGGCAAAGGAAATGAGAGCACAATCCTGGATTGTGTGCCTTCATAGTTGGTCAGAAGGGTCCAGGGGGCAGAAGGGCAGGAAGAGGACTTTGTGGAAAGCATGAGAGCATGACAACTCAGGGATTTTAGGCACCAAAGCAATGCAGAAAGACTAGAAATACAGGGCATTGTTTGATGCAGAAGTCCATGCAACACTGTAGTGTTTATATTTTATTGAGTCATGGGAAACTAGAATGGGAAGCTTGCTTAACAAGATCTAGGAGGATAAAAGACCATTGATGATTGTCATTGTGCTTATTAGTAGTCAGTCCCAAGGTAAGTTTTAAGGGACAAATAAAAGCCATTTATAATTACTACTGAACAGTCTCAGGAGAGGCTGTAGGGAGGTCTGCAGCACCTGCAGTAGTGCAGAGAAGTGTGTGGAGGACACATTATCTTTGGCATGCCTTCATTGCAAATATTCACATTACAATATAGGGGGCTTTAGTTAGACAAAGAGAGTACAGGGGTCCTGTTGAATGTCCAGTAGTCTTGATAACTGGCATTGCTTTGCATTAATTGTCCAAGAGCTGAGGTTATACATAGAGCTCCTCAGCAGCAATCACTAAGTACTGGTAGGAACATAAGGTCTTTTTCTACCAGATGGATCCAAAGGTAAGCATAATTATGTATATTAATATTCATTTACAAGAGAGGCTCATACATAGTTAACATGCCTTCAATGTGCAGGGAGTATGAGGAGATGAACTCCTCGAACTAAAGTGGGAATGGGCAGTTGCATTGGTGCATATTGAAATCTGAAAGGAGCACTGGGGTTTTGATTTAAGATGTACTTAGAGAATTGTATTTGGGCAGGTGAACTTTCCAAGTGAAAGAAGCAAGTACTTTCTGCTACTTCTAAGATCCTTTTCTAGTGCAGTTGTACACATGAACAGTCTAAAAGAAGGCCTTTGTTGATCGAAAGGGAAGGTGATGGGGTATGACCAAGAAAATTTCAATTATATATATTAATGGTCTACTAGCAGGAGTCTTGGGAGAAAAAAGTTCCCCTGCCATAGCACAAAAGAGCTACAAGGCTCTTTAAGTTAATAGGCAGTGGACCACTGACGTTACACATATTACTTGTCCACATGTAAAGATTTTAAGCACTGGATACCACTTATGGAAAGGCAGAGGAAGTCAAAGGTGGGATGTCCTTGACTGGGACACAACAACCCACACAAATACAATTGTGCATATTGACAGGCCAAGAAAAGGGGACTTACAGGTCAGCAACCTTAATTAAACAGGATGACCTATGTCCCAGTCGTGTCTATTAACATCCAAGGAATACAGTTGTGGTCAATTAAACCACATACTTGACACTTAAAGTAGTGAACACTCCCTCCTGTAAATTATTATTTTGTCCAGGAATAAGAAGCCAATGAAGACTTTAGCTGTCCTTGTACTGTAATGGGGTCTGAGAGTAAGATCTTATTCAAATGAAATGAGCCATGTACATTAATACTCAAGGTGCATGATTTTGCTTATTACAATTGTGCATCTTCACTGTTCAAATATAAAGGCCTTCTCGACAGTGCATTCCCTGCTGAAAGGGAAAGGCAGGAGGGTGGGAGATGACTTCCTCTTCCAGTGCATAGAAACATAGACCAATACAATCAGATATATCAGCTGGCCTCAAAATGGAGCCTTTAAGGCATGAAGTATAATATGATTGTTATACTTCAAAGGCAGTGTGAAATGGATCTCCATGTAGTTGATATTATGCATCAACACTTTGAGAAAGGGCCCGTAAGTGAACAGCACTTCTTTCAGTAAAAGCAAAAAGGGTATAAACAGAGACAACTCAAACTTGAAAGAATCATTAATAATTGCCATTATGTATGTACAGTTCAGTCTCAAGAAAAGGCCTTTATGATAGTCTTCTCTGTTTTAATACAGAGAAGAGTCTTGATCTAACAGGCACAGCTGTGGATTCTGACAATGTGTACAACACTTACAAGTTTAAGGATCTTCAGTAGTGGGCGCCTCCGACTGCAATATATTGTGACTCGAGTCTTTACTGGCGCCTACTAGTGGCGTAAAAATTAAGTATGCACATGAACAGAGACAGTGCAGGCCACAGTGATGCATACAAGTAATCCCGAAGCTGGGAGGCTGAGGCAGAAGAATCATAAGTTTGAGGCCAGCCTGGGCCACACAGTAAAACTATGCCTCCAAAAACCCCAGAGAATGAATCTCAGGTTGGTAGGAGCCTCAGCAGTAGTGCAAATGGTGAAAGGAAACAAGACCTTACTTTAACATGTGGAGGCATAGACTGCTATTAATTATATTCAGTGAAGTGGTATGAAACCACGCCCTTGCTATTACACAAGGGTTTTTATGATTCAGCAGAAAGATTTCATGTGGGTAGTGCACCTTCACATTCAGAAGTCAAGATCTTAGCTTATTGGAAGGGACCATTAGCAACTGGAAATATACATATTTAAGAGTTCCAGTTTGGGCCAGGCCTGGTGACAGGCATGCCTGTAATCTCAGGAAGGGCGATCATGAATTTCAGGCCAGGCTGAGTTATCCTTTCTTCAAAAACTAAGAGGATATCACTCAGTAGTATAGGGCTTGCCTGGCCTGTCCAAGGCCCTGAGTTCAAGCAACTGCAGAACCCATTTGAGGTTGTTTTCATGTAAAAAGGTAAATATTACTTTAGGGGAGAACTATGAACTTTGGAATTTTCCATATATAATGTTCCAATATATAAAGTGTAGGTAATTAATATAAAATCTTGCACAAGAGACTTGATTAGTCAATTACTATCATTCACAATTAGCTAGGTGGAGGTTATCCACTGCAGGGCTACAAGAGAAATGACAAAGGTCAGGGTTTGATTTTTTTTTTTTTTAACCCAGTGCTCAGTTACAGTAAGAAATACAGCCAATGCACATTAATAGGACATGACAGCCAGGACTGCTAGCATGTCTCTCCTCCGAAGAGCAAGGCAGGAGGGAGTTGGGAGGCAAGAGGGTTGTGAGTTCCAGGCCAGCCTTAGTTGCTTAATAGAGACTGTGTCTCAAAATACCAAGAGCTGGAGATATAGCTCAATGATGGTACTTAGCATGCACACACTAGGCTCTAGGTTGGATACCCAGCACGGCAAATAAATCAGAACAAGATCTGGCCTTCTGCTCAGCAAATGTAATTATGGACACTATTAATTCAAGAGAAGCAGTCCCCAACACAGTAATGAAAATAGAGTATCTTCCCCCTTAGCAGGCAAGGCTAGGACAACTGGGACTGAGCATATAAACTGTATGTTAAGAATTTGAAGTCCCCCTACTGAGTGCAAATAGGGTTTGGACTGAGGTCTAATCCAAAGGGTAGATTATGGATAATTAGGATATAACTCGGCAAAGAGTTTCAGGTGGTCAACCACTGTATGTAAAAAAGACCACTGAAAGCCGCCAGAATATTGGAGCTGGGACTCCTGCAACAATGACAGAATAATGGCTTGTCCTTCTTTAGTGTAGTAACATTTAATATAAGGTGCAAGAATTCTTTGTTCTAAGCAGGGAAAATCGTGACTTAGGCAGTCAGCTTGGTGGGCATTGCCTCAGTCTAACCAGATGAGTAATGGGCATCTTATTTTGAGTACCAAATCAATGAAGATTGGTGCAACTCTAGGGACATGCTGTGCTTGGGCTGGGGCAGGGGCTGGGGCCAGCTGTTCTGGGGCAGGGGCGGGGGGCT